GCTTAAAGAACAACACCATATTCTGAATGTTCTTGGGAGTTACTCTATGTTTCTCCTTTACAAAAAAATACTGCACCTGTTACTCCATTGGCCAATTAGGAAGTCTACTTTAAATATAGGTTACACTGAAATTCTAAAGGGAAAAAATTAAACCATCTGGGTAATAAAAATCATGTTTTGTGTGTCTGTGAAGTTGTTCCATCCTCAGGTGATCTCAGCCACAGCACATCCCTGCACAGGCACCGCCATGCTGTGTTGGACAGCAACAAGCAGCCCAGGCTTCTTGGGCTGTGCACTGCTATGTTTTTTTTGTTTTTGTTTCTGTTTGTTTTGTTTTTACATATGTTTCCCTTGCTTTTGTGTCATGTCTCTGCTTAGCTTTATTGACAAAACAATCTGTGCCTAATGCTTAAACAACATCTGTAAAGTGTATTATTAAATTACGTCACAAGGAAAAAGCAGAACAGTTCTATGAAACCCAATGACCCCTATTGATTTCCAGATCACAGAAGCTGAAAGGATAATTTGTGAATGTTTTAACATTTACATCTAAGCAAGTACCTGTATTTATAGAATCTTTGATTACTTATAAAAGTATTTGCAACATTACTATTATAATTCAGAAATAAACTTGACCTTTAACTGTTGAATCTATTACAATAAAGATTAGATTTTCTAAAAATACGTTTACATTTTTACCTGCCTGAGGCAACATCTCTAGCTTTTCCCCCTATGAGAAGTGAGGCCTGAATACTTAGCAGCTTTGATGAAGCTTATGATGAAGCCATAGATGAAGGACCTGGAAGGTACTGGTATGTATCTAAACTGAGAACTCCTGAGTACAAGAGCACTGATGTCTGATGTTGCACCAGATGCTACAATGCTGCCTAGAATCTCATATACAGTTCATACTGAGGGGCTTTCCTGTCTGTACACCTGCCATATTTCACATATACTATACATTTTTCACCCAAAACCTATGTCATCTTCTTAAAGCATACAGGGATAATTATTTGATATCAGGCCTTACAGGAAACGTATGTGGCTGGAAAGTAGTAAAGAAAGAAACTATCAAATTTATCTCATGCACCTTAGGCTAGAACTCTGCTGAAACAGGCTATGCCTGATATTTCTAGAAAGTACAAAACCATCATAAGCCATCATTTTTCATCACAGGAAAATCCCAGGTCAGCAACATTGGTGTGAAAATATGCAAGTGAGTTTTTATTTGAGCATTCCATACTAGCATTTTCAATATAAAAGCTGATCTTTCCAGGAGAAGAAAGAACCAAGTATTGACTTTGTTTTTGAGTGTATGTATGTGTTTTCTTTAGAGTTCTGCCTAAGATGGGAGGGAGTGGGGTAGATTTGATCAAAACATACTGTGTACATGTATGAAATTCTCAAACAACAAAAAACATATTTGAAAAAATTTGAATACTAAAAATTTTCAAACAGTTCTGCCTGCATCTTAAAGCCCTAAAGAACCATCTAATGCCAACATTAATAACATTTCTACTTCAAAATATTAATATTGTTGACTAATGTTGTTCTCATCACAATGTATCAGAAATATTTGTCACAACAATGAGAAAACTAAAGACAGAAAGTCTCAAAATATTAATTTAACCACTTTCAATAAAATCATAATTGGGCAAGAAGGAAGAATCCATAAACTTACGGTGCATGTGGTATTCCAAAATGACTGAGCATTAAGCCTCAACCTAACACATTATACGAGGTAGAACTGCCCAGGAAATCAATCATAGAAGCTGACATTTTAAAATATGCAATTGTCTTATATAAATTGAATAATTTATGCTAAATTATTTTTATCTGGACTATTAGAATATTTGCCTCAGAGCTCAAAAAAAAAAAAATGTGTTGGCACAGACTGAGTCTACAGTGTTTCATTCAATAAATTTCCCATCTTGTCCCAGAGCTCCAATGTCATCCATTTTGAGATTCTTCCTCTCTACTTTCATTCTCAACTAGTAGACTTACTATGAATCAGTTTTTACTGAGTTTTCTCTTAATCAATCTGTCTTACTATTTCGCAATGAAATTTTCTGTTTTACTCATTTTCCATATATTTTAGCCTTGGTCAGCTAAGACATGCAGTATATCTCTATGTCAATGAAAAGATGTGAAGTGAGTTCCATGAGGGACAGCCAGAAGGACCGTCACAGAGGCCCCAGCACCTCGTCTTGTTTTTCAGTTGAGAGCTCAGTAAAGCTGTACCAGCCAGGGCGACTTTGACAAGCTAACTACTAGACATGAGTTTATACTTTTCATTTGCATAGTGCACACTTCAGTATATGATGTTGCTGCCAATAATTATGACTGATCTACACCCAATCTGCCCTTCAGCATTTTATGAAACCTCTTCAACAATGACTCACAGCTCATACAAAATTTTACATGTGTGTTAACAAGTTTTAAGAAATCCAAGAAGAAAGAAAGAATTTTTTTAAGTTGTAACTAAATGAAGTGAGGAGGAAATCCTAAAGCATTAATGATGATTTTTTAAAATTTCTATTTCTAGAAGGAAAGAACATCACAGGCTAGCATTCTATATAATAAAAGCATTTATTTATAAGCTCCCAAGAAAGCTTCCTGTTTATTTTTATCATAGTAAAGTAAAAAAGGAAACCACTCAAAAGTTACTGTTTTTTTAGCCTTCAAACAGGCCATGTGTAAGATTGTTAGATTCTGTGACATCTTTAGTTTTGAAAAGGTGTTATTTGAATATTTCATTCTTTGCAAAATATTTAAAACCCAAAGTCTAAAGAAATACATATGCTATATAAGTATATTCTAAATGTTATAACGTTAAGACCAGCTTCTTAATTAAGAAGGTTTGGATAAATTCTAAAGTTTGAATCAGACATGAATGGCATGACTCCTCAGAGGTAAGAGAAGAGATCGATGTCATACATCATAGGGTACTTTAAAGACATTCTCTACAGCAAAGTTGCTAAGGGTCAAAGTAACAGACTAATACAAAGCAACTAGGTGCAGGGAAGAACCCAGTTCTTCTATCCCCAGAAAGTGCAAGGAGGAGAAGGTAGCACACAGTATCTGAGGCACAGAACTGTGCTTCCATCCCAATTCATAACAAGCACAAGTGATTGTGAAGTTGCCATCAGCATGAAGCCGAGATTATTCTATAGCTTTCTAGTTTTAAGTTCTCCTTTTCTCCTTTCTAATCATAAAAAATGAAGAAGTCAGCTGACTGAGACCTGCAGCTGTCCAGTAGAGCTTGTGGAGGGAATCAATCCAGGGAAGTGACAGCATATTCCTGGAGCTATACTGTGTGCACAGGAAACATCCCATCAAATGCTACAGCAGCAGCTTGTGTTGGAATTACTCTGGTAACTATGTGTATGAATAGAGTTTGCTAGCAACATCAAGGAGGAAGAGCGAGGACACGTCTGATAGCCAGGCAACTCTTCGGCCTTCCTTAATTCCAGCACTCTGCCATTCTTCTGCATTCAAACAAGAGTGTTTCCCAAGGAAACACGACATTTCAACAGCTTCCGTTGAAGTAAGACTGCCTCGCCATCAGTTGAATTTAAAAACATGATTGTAGGTGCACGCAGAAAACTGACAGTCTCCCTTAGATTTCTTCCCAAACCTTTGAAAGACCAAGTTCAAATACAAGTCATTATAATACAATAGCAGGTAAAGATAGGAAACAAGCCTCAAGAGCAGCAGAACTGGTGGTAACACACACAGACGTAGCACACCTTTGGTGAGCACCCTGTCCACTAACTAAAAAGGCTGTACAAATTGATCTCTGAAGGCTGTGGTAAGGTCATAGAAATTGATAACCCTTACAAGCAATGCTTATGTGAGTCTGCCTGTGTCTTGCAGATAGTGCACTTTGTAAATTAATCCTCCGAAGGCAAATATATTGTAAGTAGCTTGTTATCTCTAAAATACTAAGTTGAAGAATACATGGGATTATATTGACAGAAATTACATTTTCTGTAATGGGTTTAATATATCTGAAATCTCTCCCAAAGGCTCCAAGCTCTCTAACAGTGAAGGGTCTGTTAATGAAGGTTCAATGGACATCAAGAACAGATTTAGCCACAAAATGGATTAGGCTATGTAATCAGAGATTCTATAATATTAATCTTTGACACTTATTGAAAAGATCGAAATGCTTGTGTCTACAAATTGCCTTTCCCCATCCACGTTTTGGGCTTTTCTGGATTTTACTTCAGAGACAATAAGATTTATCCATCATAAACACTGATCTGAAAATATTAGGACAATTAATATGATATCCTTAGTTGTAGAGGGTATTGGGTTTCACTGTCCTTCAACAGGACCTGGGTGACTATTGTGCCCTGGCTTCTAGCACAATCTGAAAGGACAATGAATCATATTCTCTCAAAGCTCACTACCATGCTGCTCTACATTAAGTTGGAAGACGGTCGGCTGGTGTTCGGTCCGTAACCTCGGCTTTACCCCAAAGCAGGAATTTACACGTCCATGGAAATAGCACTGCACGATTCTCAGAAACATCAGGTTTTAAAGAGCTTCAAAGTAGAAACATAAGTAATTTTCCCTCTCAGTAGTCGAGAGAACAGGGGTTGGCATCCTTGAATGCATAGCCCTAACAAAATCTAACTGAATTAGTTTTACAATGAATTTAAAACTGATATGGGATGGTGGATTTTCTTTTTTCATAGGAAGTAGGATGATATCAACTTTATCAATGATCCTGAAGAGAAAACCTCAAAGAAAGTGGTAAGATTTCAGCCATAGTGGGTGTGAATCAAATACACTCATCCTGTACATAAAACCTGTAATTCACAAAGGAGGTGGAAGGCAATTTCACATATTAGAAGGCATTTTTCCACATCGGTCCACATCTGTTTTCCCCTTTGGGTCAACAGGCCGCCAGGGCAAAGGGCGTGGTGTCTCCATGCAGTACACCAGCTGCCCAGTGGGGATGGACTGCAGGGAAACACAAGCCAGTAACTCACCAGTTGTTCACCTGAAGGATAGTGAGTCCCGTGTCCTGTGCCAACTGCTTTTTTTGCTCTTCAGAAGGGTAAGGGTGCTGAAAGAGATCAAAAAAGATATGTGTATGGCAGGCAATGTTTAGACCATTTTGTCAATAACCTAAGTATCTAGTGAAATCTATAATTAAAGGTAAAGATGCTGAGGTGTCACTCTTATTAATGGAACACTACATCATCTAATTAATGACAGTAAAGACAACCCAATTACAAAGATTAGTGAAGTGTATAAGTAGCTACTTAGGATACTTGCAGAACCTTGATACTGAGTTTCTCCTTTGACACGTTTACTTGTTGCAAGCCTAGAAAGTTTAGTATGATCTGTGCCATATTTTATAGGATTGAAATAAGGGCAAGCTATTTTTGGCCATCTAAAAGAAAGTCATATGGTTTAATACCTTCTCGGCTGAGGTTCCCAGTATTTAATATTCTCCCTCCATAATACCATCAAAATATTAATATTAAAGTAGGTCTATGTGTTGTTTAAGTCACATTATTTTAGCTTTTGGCAAAGTTCAACCAAAACTGGTGTGATAATTCATCTTCCAGCCAATTTGAATAGCTTTAGGCTGATTCATGGAACACCTTGGGGTGAGTCTATGAGGGTGTTTCCAGAGAAAACTAGCTGAGGGAAACCCAGCCCGAACATGGACCACACCATTTTGTGGCTAGAGGCCTGTACGGATTAAAAGAGGGAAAGGTGACAGCCAGCTCAGCACCGGCACTCAGCACCCCTGATTCAGGTCCCTGGAGACCTGAGAAAGTGAGGAGAGCTGGCTGTGTGCTACAGCCTTCCCCACTGTTCTTCCTCTCCATGACAGACTGTCGCCCCTCAAACCATTTAAGTCAAAATAATTCCTTTCTCCTTTAAGATCAAGCCCAGCTCTGTTCCTCACGAGGAAGAGAATTTAAAGTATTGAATGTATTATTAGATAATAAGATGAATTTGAGATTCTACTGAAATTTGCTTTTTGCAGAAACTTTTTCTATTCAATAATCATCTAAGTTGAACTACGTGTTTCTGAAGTCTGGGGAACCTGCTGAGGCTATGGTTTCCACATATGGAAAAATTGGCTGGCTTAAAATATTGCTTCCTTATAAAGTCTCCCCATATAAAGTTGTTCTGAGAGTAAACCCTCTAGTCTGTATTCCCATTGTGAATGGGAAAGGATACCCCAAAGACTCAATTTAACTATCTGTGCCATTGAAACTAAATTCTGGTTTATCAAATGCTAATTAACATAGCTTTTAATCTCATTAATAATTTCTGGTTAGATGCTTAAAATATTGTCAATGGCCACATCAGTGCTCTTCCATGTATCTTTAAATGTGTTTTAGATCTACGCACACGGGTTTGTTTGTGGAGAGCAGAGATATAGTAATTTTCCCCATAAGCATTGCCTTTGATTGCCACTTAATCAATAAATATGCAATTAGAATAAGGTTTTGCTTTCATGGCATATAGGGCATTTCTTCAGAGACCTGCAAGTGTATCACAGACAGGATGGTAATTAATCCCCATTAGGTCCTTCTGAGAGACATAAATGGAATCTTCTATCCCTCTTGCTTTGCTGGTGAGGAAACTAGCCAAGGGAAGGGATGGCCGGCAGTAGACGAGGCTCAGTGATAACTCCTTCTCTTCCAGCATCTAAATCTTCAAAAGCCTCTAGGCTGCTTACCATATCCTGCAGGGCCAGCCACCATCCAGCCCCACCCTCTTCCAGATTCATTGCCTTCTCACGGAGTCCTTCCATTTCCTCCAGCTATGCTCTTCCAATATACCAGGTTTCCTCCCATCATGCAAACTCTTGCTCAATGTCACTTCCAGGGATGGCTCAATGTCAGGTTTTACACACACACAAACACACCACACATACACACACACACACACACACACACACACACACACACACCTTTATCACGCATCAATTTTTCATATTTCCCCATAGCATGCATCAGTCTAGTCTCTGATACACTTGTTTTGGCCTCTCTTCTCACTCACCCACCCACACTAAGTTCTCTGCTTCCTCATTCACCATCCTCAAAGTTCAGATGGAAAATCGACAAATATTTTTAAAACAAAGAGAATAACTATAGGTTACTAAGATATCTTACACAGATATTAGCTACTCAACTTTAACACCAATATGGATAATAAAGTGTTTTTCAAAGCCAACAGAAAGTGTAAGAAATCCACTTAAGATCCATGACAATGTTTTCTTTGCTTCATTCCTAAAAGTGATACTGACTCATGAAAGTGTACAAACTTCATAATGACCAAAGACCCCCTCAATGTAAGACCAGGCACTGTGGCCAAAACTTTCATTCTTCAGTACCGAAATAAGTGATACCCAATATCCTTGGTCTAAAACATAATTCCCATTTTATAAAAGCATGCCATACAATTCATATCAAGGTGAATCTCTTTTTCTATGAATGGAGCACTAAATTATTTTATATATAGTTCTATCTATACTAGTTGAAGAATTGTTTTTTTAACATAAATGACTCTATTAGAGCATATAAACTATGCTGCCACTTGTTAATTATAAGAGTTTGAACAACTTTTATACTCTCAATGTTGTTACTCTGAGTCCTAAGAGCCACTGAAGTTAAAGGTTTCTCACACTGGAAGTGCTTACAGTCTTTCTAACAAGAATTATCAGCTGCATTTTGAAATATGCAAGGTTTTAATTAAAGACATTTAAATTACACGTGTGTGTGTGTGTGTGTGTGTGTGTGTGTGTGTGTGTGTGTGTATGGGTATGTGCACATAAGTGCAGGTACCTGTGGTAGCCAGAGGTACCGAATCCTCTGGAGCTGGTGTTACAGGTGGTTGTAAGCTGCCCATCATGGGTGCTGAGAACCGAATTTAGGTCTTCTTCAAGAGCAGTATGTGCTGGTTCATCTCTACAGCCCCCAAATATACAAGCTTTTAAAAAAAGAAAGTAGGACCTTTACTTATGTGTGTGTTTGTGTGTGCATGTGTGTATGCATGTGGGCATGCATGTCGAAGTCAGACAATAACATTCAGGAGTTGGTTCTCTCCTTCCACATGTAGGTCCCAGAGATCAAACGGGTTGGCAGGCTTAATGGTAAGCACCTTACCCACTGAACCCTCTCACAAGTTTTATCACCCAGCTGTTGAACATACTTGCCATATAAAGTTGTACACATGCAATTTGTGGTCTGTAGCATTGTCTGTAACACCACCAGCCTACAGTTTTCTACATCCTAGGAAAATCCCTTCAACGATTTTCTTCAATAGAATTAACAGTATTTCTATCTTTCCTCCAGTGGAACTGGGTAGCAACATCTTTTGAAGTGTCTTGTTAGCTACCTTGATGTCATAACCAAATAAAGTTGGATAAATCCAGCTATAACTGGATAAAAATTAATATTTATGCCATTTATCTTTAAATACTTTGGAAATTGAGAGTTGTCACAGTAATTTATTTGTCCTGTGTTTTTCAAGAGTATTTTTGCATGCTTGTTTGTGACCAAGTTTTACATACATTCTTATAAGACAAATGGAATTCACATTTTATTTATGCAAATGGTGTCAGAAAAATTCTCCTTGGATCATTAAAATTACCTGAATCATTACAGCTTCAAAGAGTGTAACATAGTCCTCAAAATTCCAGTGCAAATTTCAGTTGTTTCTTCACATCATGTAGCTTCTGATTTCATAATTTAAATAACACAAAATGAGAACGGTCTATTTTTTCTTTTCCTCTGTCACTTTTCATGTGATCTGATTTTAAGTAATTGGAACAAACTGTGTCTAATTTCATGCAGCATAATTGCTAGGCAGCCCCAAGCTACAGAGACCCAACACTTGTCTCCATTAAGCAATTTTCAGTTCTTTGGAATATATTTTTTATGTAAAAATGAATGAGCCTGGACAAAATTAAATGTCACAATAATGTGGAGTTATTAGCAATGGCTAAGGTATGCCAAGCAGTAGGTGCATCACAAATGCTCACAGTCTAAATGGAGTACCCTAGGGAGCAGCACCCAGGACCTTGTGCACACTACTACCAGCAAATCCCTTGTCTAGAGCAGAGCAGTCAAATGCTTTCCTTGTTTCTTATGGTTCTTGGCCTTGGTATCCCACAAACTCTGAATTCCCTTTTTTTTAAAAAACAAACAAACAAACAAACAAACAAACAAAAACACCATAATTGCCAATATCACAGAAAAGTTATGACTTCATCTATCTACTACCCATTCAGCCAAAACTTCTCAGTAAGGTCTATACATAAACCACTGTGTTTAAATATATCAAATCCTGTGAATCTTTACTACCTAGGCTATCTGTGGACAGTACGAGTTATCCCTTTGTAGACACAGAGAAATGGCCTGACAAAAAACCCTTATGCCACATGCAAAGCTGCTGTAAAGACATTCCCAGCCCCGCTGTGTTCTCCTACAGGGCGAATGAGGGCACTCAACAGGGAAAGGCCACCGTCATTTTGCAAGAGATCAAGAGCAAACCCTCAAAAGTGTCATTTTAGGGAGAAAATAGGAAATTCATTCCAAGCCATTGCAACTAGGGGCTTAAGCCACTTCTTTCCATTTTCCCAAACGCATCTGCTTTATTGTATCTAAAAGACAAGGACACTGGCTAAAGAAAGATCAGTGGGTTCTTGTGAGAGGGAGACTTATTGCACTGGCCTGATATACCAATCAACCTAATCACTTTGGGATATCAAAGTAAATTTGGCCACAGTCCAACAGACAGCAAGGGAGACCTGCCTCTGCCATGTACATTAGCCTTGTGCCATTATCTCTTAAAAGCTTAATTATTTGCAAACAATTGATCAAGATGGGAATTTGAGAAAGGATGTGCCAGGGCCACTGGGAGACCTGCAAGGCATTAAGAGAGCAAACGAAATTACCTCTGGATCTTACAATAAGAGTTAACGACTGAGGAGGGAGAGCTAGGCTGCGCAGTAGCTGCCAGGGTTCTGTCTGCAGTGTTTCCCATTTGATCTGCATTAACACCTCAGGAATGAACGAAAGCCATAAAACAGTGGTT